TGATATACCTCTGTAAACCTCATGCAATTATCACTCCATGTGCATGACCCAGTTTTTCAGAAGCCTGATCAGTGTTCTCCTAAGTGGCTTTAGTTCTATCATCTATTTTTAACAGTCATCTGGGGATTCCCTTTCAAACTAGTGTTGTCTTAAATGATGCTGACAGATGTCCTGATCCTGAGCTATGCATGTTCTCTCTTTCTGGGATGTGGCTTTGCTGACCATTTGCTTTGTGTGTAGGCTTCATGGATGGGTTGAGAGACAGGGTGTCACCACATTCAGTATGTCCACATTCACTCAAACCTCTGTCCAACTGTGCCTGGTGTCCCTGGAGCAGAGGGCATCTTATTCTACAAAAAGAAGAACTTCAAAGTCTTTGCCAAAGTGGAGGAGAGAGCCACCCTCCTCTAAAGAGTGAAGGAGGGGATATGGAAAATTTTTCCAGAGATTTTTAGAACAATAGTCCTACCTTTAGAAATTTCCCAAGCTTCCTGAAACTTAAATAGGAGCTAAGACTACTAAAGGGTTCCATGGTGGTAATGAGCAACTTCTCAGTTTTTCACAATGTCAGATTAGGATTCAACTTTCTTAGGTTGCTAAGTCAGTTAAGAATCATTTTTTGGCTCTTCATTTTCCAGAATACTATCTCTTCTCTTTTTCCTTATGGGCTTGTGTCTTTAAAAAAAAAAAAAAAAAAGAAAACACCTCAATTCAGGACACCTGGCTGGCTCAGTCAGTGGAGCATGCAACTCTTGATCTCAGGGTCATGAGCTCAAGCCCCACATTGGGTGTGGAGCCTACTTAAAAATAAATAAATAGTAAAAATAAAAGTAATAAAAACTTCAATTCATTGGTTGGGAAAAATGGGTATAATTTAGCTGTCATCTTTACCTCATATTGGTTAAAGCACTTTCTTTAGTAATTTCCTCAAAATATATATAATGACATATTTCTGAATCTTTATTTTAAAATCTCTTTTCATGGTGCCTGGGTGGCTCAGTCAGTTAAGCGTCCAACTCTTGGTGTTGGCTCAGGTCATGATCGCATGGTTTCATGGGTTCAAGCCCTGAGCTACCAGTGCAGAGCCTGCTAGGTGTTCTCTGTCTCCCTCTCCCTGCTCCCCTCTCTCCCTCTCTCCCTCTCTCTCTCTCTCTCTCTCAAAATAAATAAACAAAAAATTTTTAAATAAATAAAATCTCTTTTCATAATTGACAAATGAAAGATATGTTAGTTGGGTATAGTACCTCCTGGGTTAAGTACTTTCTAATGAATCAGATATTTTAAGGTTTTCTAATTTCCAGTTTCTGGAATCTGAAGATGATCTCATTCTACATTCTCTGCATATAACTTGGTGCTTTTTTTTTCTTTCTAGAAGCTTTAAAGACTTTTTGTTCTTGATATTCCTAGAAGAGTTACTTTTTTCATTAATTTTATCTGAAACTCAGTGAATCTTTGCAACAACACATCAAGGCTTTCTCAAGAACAGTGAAACAAAAATCTCCCTTATTATTTCTTTTAAAATTAACCTTCCTTTACTTGTCCATCTTTTCTTCATGAAACTGTTATATACATACAAAATCTCTTGGATCATCCCTCCACATCTCTTATTTCACAAATTATTTCATCCTTTCTACCTTTTTACCTGTAGTAAAAGTGTAGGGAATAAGGGAATAGGACCCTTATTCCTTAGGTTCACTAGTTTAGTTCTTAAAAGTGACCATCCCACCTTTCGCTTTGCTGAAACACTTCTAAAAATCAGAGTTTTTATACTTTATTAAAGTCTCTCTCCTCTGATTTCATGTCCTTAAATGTTCTTACCATTTTTCAGCAAACTCTGTCATTTGACTCACAGGAGTTCTAACACAGCACCGCCTGTCCTCAGCGATTCTTCTAGGTCTTCCTCCCTACATGGTAAACCTTTTCCTTTGTAAGGTCAGGTCAAAGGACCAGACGCTGGTATGCTGGTAAATGATAACAATCAACTCGGGTGTGAAGGAAGAAGAAATGCACCAGTGCAGGTTTTGACAGTTTCCTCACTGTAAATACTCTCTCCAAGGCTGATTTCAAACTACCAGCATCACATCAGAGAGGATGGATTGGGCACAGATGAGCAGTGCCCCAGAATAGTTCTTGGGGAAGTGCTGCAATGGTCTAAATGCTACCTCATCCTGGAAGCCATCCCTGATTCCCTGAATCGGAAGTGGTTTTTCTCTGTGCTCAAGACACTTTGCTTATATCTTCATTTAGCCCTTCTTTTGTCCTGTAGCGGTTAGTTCTTTACATATTTGTAAACACCCTGAAAAGTTAGTGGGTATTACACAGAAATTTTATATTGTGTTCTTCTATTACTCCTCGTACTCACTTTTAAAGAATCAGGAGAATTCAACCAAATAAATTACCTTGTGATGTAAGCTCCTTAAGTGCAGGGAAAATATATTATTTGCTTTCCATTTTCTTCTAGAGCCTGCACCAATTATTTGTTGGATGATTTTAATGACTGAATTCTCAAAGGCAATGCTACAGCCCAAATTTCATTTTACCACTATCACCAGCTAGACCCCAAGACACGACCTTTACTCCCCACTTGCCTGTGCTCACCAACCTTTGTCCCCATTTTTCCTTACACTCTTCTTTCCAGCGTATCTCTTAACTCAGACAAAAGACCCTATAGGGATAATATTCAGTGATGGAAACCAAAACAACTGCCCAGAGTACCAGCCAGCCAGACCAACCAGACCAGTTTAAAACTAACCATGCCACCACCCCCTGCCCCCAACCTGCACCTGCACAGATGGGCAGTGGAATGACTGACAGTTACCTTTACCTCATTATACTAAAATCTCCACCAAAGGAGGAACAAGCCTCATTTACATAACAAACAATGTATACATAGGTATATTTCCTTATGGCACATATGAGACCTTATGCCTGCCTTTACATACAATGACAAAGCTCCCTATCTAAATATTCATCCTAACCCTAAATAAAAGGAACCCATTCACCCTTGCCCAGAGAGTCACAGCTTTGGAAGTTATTCCCCACGATCTCATTTGCTGCAAATTAAGTTCCCTTTATTTTATTATACTGTTGCACAGATCTGTGCAACAGAAACCATGGTGTGGTGTCTGCCTGTGACTCACCAAGGAGCAACTCATACTGATTTGGTTACACCGCTTTTAAAGGAATAGAAATACTTGACTAAATTAAATGGAAAAGAAAAAGGTGTAATTAGTGGTATTTTACTTGTGTTGAATCCAATTTTTGTTAAAAATCTGCATCTTTCCAGAAGAGAAAAATAATTCTGATCTCTTCTTTTGACAGGGCTAAAGGTTAAACTGTAGCAAGGCAAAAGAGAAAAAAGTCCAAAATGTTCATTACAGGCCAACTGAAATTATAGTTCCTAAAATAACTTCTTCCTCATTTTCCCTTTACTCCAGAGTCAAAATAACATCTTCCCCAGTTTTCATTTATTTTTCAAATAAATGCACAGCAGCTTTTCAACCTGAGACTCTAATAAGCAGATATGAAGAATACATTCCTGTGCATCCTATTTTTTGGTTTTAGTCACAGTAATTCATTCCAAAGGTCAACCTCAGAACCTTTAGTAACACTGTTCCAGTCCACAAATATATTTGGGATAATAAACATATATAATAGAAAATTTTAATGCAGTCATAAAAACACGTCCTCGCCTGTGAACAGTGCCTAGGATAGCTGGACAGATGGGAAGCAGACGGGTAATCCCAAAGGGACAAAATGACCCAGGCTCAAACATATGGAGAAGATCCTGGATTAACTTCAGTGGCCACTTCCTGCTGTCTCTTTCAGGCACATATATCAAACAATCAGAGATGATACAGTTTAAAATATCAGATACCTGCTGTAGGGAAAAATAGGAAGGAGGAAATAGAGTAATCTGAAAAACAAGCGATAGTAGCCATTCAGAGAAGGACTGACCTGAGAATAATGTGAGGGAAGGCAATGAGAGGTCCACATTAAGAAGGGCAAAGCTAGGTGTGTACTTTTAAAGTGCTTACAGGCATTCTACAACAACAACATACAGCATACTCTGAAAACTTGTATGATCTGTGATTTTGAAGCCTAGCACAATTGAATGAGTACTGAAACAGGAGATGGAAACTAAGTTCAGCTTCTGGCTTTATTATACTACTGGTCATTTAACCTCATCAAGCTCTCTGGGCTTTCGTGTCCTCACATGGAAAAATAAAGGATGAGATGAAATAATTGCTAATGGTCCTTTCTAACAACTTCTAACAATTTTTAAAACTGTGTTCCTATCTTGTATAAGCATGGATAGAATTACATTGTCCATGCTGATAATTCCCTATCAAAACAGAAATGTAATATAGTAAGTTTATCACGGAAAATGGCAATGTTAAGTTTTAAGTAAATTTCTGAGTTCCCTTGAGAATGTGTAACATTTTCTGATGCTAAATGTATAGCACATAGTAATCAACTTCAATTAGAAATTTTAAATGCCATTTTCTTCCCCATAATGGGATCCAACACCATCTATGTACACATATAGACATTTACACAAATGTATGTATGCAAGCATGTTTGCTCTAAAAGTTCCCTCAAGTTTTCACCTGTTGTCTGCTTCTGCCTACTGTTTCATGACACATCACCATCACAGACGCATTAGCCAAGCAGACATAAAAGCATATGGAAATCCTGAAAACATAATTCTGATCTTTTCCCTTGATGGGGCTTGAGGTTCAACTATATATAGCAAGGCGGCAAAGAGGCCAAAATGTTCATTACAGTTGAATTTCTCACTCAACAAAATTATGGATTACTGCACATTCATGAGTCATTCATGAATACTCAAAATCATGAATGTCAATAGTCTAGGATACTCTGTTAATAAATCAAGTACAGTATAGACCAGAGGCCTTAATTTCAAAACAGAAAAATTATACATTATAATAAAGTATAAAATAACTTTAATACAGTAAAATACTTCAATGCACACAAACCTTTAAAGCCATCAGGATACACATCAGAAAGAAATTTAGTGTTGATGTCTCCTTCTATAAAACGTGAGTTGATTATCACCTCTCGGAGCAATGCAATATTATGTGTAACACCTAAAAATAAAAAGATATCAGATGGAATTAGAGAACAAAGAGTCAGTTAAAAATCTAAGTCTTACTATCTAGAGAAATTTATCATCTGTGTCTTATGATCTAGCAAGAACCAGGCAAGATTATCCATCTCCTTAACTTCAAGTAACAACAAAAAAGGTCTGAATCTGTGGTAGCAATAAAATACTAAATGTAAGCCTGAGAAACTTGTGACTGCCAAGTCAATTTAATAGGGAAACAAATGTCTTTTCAGTAAATGGTACTAACATGTCCATTTGGGAAAAAGGACATTGAACTTCATCCCTATAACTCACACCATACACAAAAATTAACCTAAATTGGATCACAAACCTAACAGCAAACCCTAAAACTTCAAGACTTATGGGAAATGTAGGAGAAAAATCTGTTATCTTGAGGTAGGCAATAGATTCTTTGGTAGTACACAAAAACCATGAGCCATAAAAAAAGAAACTGTACTTCATCAAAATTTAAAAGCCTGCTTCAAAGGATACAGTTAAGTAAACAAAATGGTAAGCCACAGACAGAGAAAACGTGCACAACACACATATCAGACAAAGAACTTGTATCTAGAATATATAAAGAATGCTTACAGCAGAGTAAGATGACAATGTAAAAAATGGCAAAGGATCTGAACACATTTCACAAAAGAAAATATGCAAATGAAAAGTTGTTCGGAGCGCCTGGCTGGCTCAGTCGGTTGAACGTCTGACTTCAGCTGAGGTCGTGATGATCTCAGGGTTCGCGAGTTCGAACCCCACATCGGGCTCACTGCTGTCAGCGTAGAACCCGCTTTGGATCCTCTGCCCCCTCTCTGTGCCCCTCCCCGACCTGTGCACTCTCAAAAATAAATAAAACTTTAAAAAAGTTGTTCAACATTGCTATCATCAAAGGAACACAATGAGATGCCCCCCAAAACCAAATTAAGTGGCTAAAGGTTAGAAGACAGAAATATCACATATCAGTGTGGATGTGAAACAGTAGAATTGTCACACCCTGTGGTGAGGCTATAAATGGCACAAATACTTTGGAACTGCATGGCAGTTTCTTAAAGAGTTATACATACATACGATTCAGACAAGTCACTCCTAGGTAACCTATCCAAACACTTATACACATAGGTTATTAATTGATTTACAATGGTCAAAACTGGAAACAATCTAAATGTCCATCAACAGGTGAATGAATTAGCAAAGTGTGGTTTGTCCATACAATGAAATTCTATTTAGCAATAAAAAGACAGGGGTTACTAAAAACACAAGAATGAATCTCAAAATAATTATGCTGAATTTAAAAAGACTACTGTAGGAGTCCATTAATATAAAATTTCAGAAAAGGCTAAAAAACCTACAGTGACAGAAAGCAGATCACCCAGTTGCACTGGGACAGGGGTAGAGACACCGAGGATTCCAAAGGCAATGAGGAAACTTTTGGAGGTGATAGAAATGTTCAGCATCTTGATTGTGGTGATGGTTTCACAGGTGAATACATATGTCCAAACTCATCAAACTGAATAAATACGAGAAGTTCATTTCATGTCAAGTATACTTCAATGAGTAGTAAGAAAGGAGGAGGGGGGAAAAAAAGAAAAAGAAGAAAAAGAAGAAAAGAACAGCTTGTGATCCAGCAGGAAACACTGAGTCTGGAACACAAGGACCACTACAAAGTTATGTTACAATAGCTAACTGCCACAACAGGGACTCGAAAGGTATCAGGAGAGTTCTGTGAGATAGAAGGGCTTTATGAACGGAGTATTTGATCTTGGTCACGCAGATTACAAAGATATAAAGAGGAATAAAAGGGAGGATGAGAGGCATGTCAAATCCAGGGAGAGCAGGAATTCGATCAGGCTTCCACAAGAGGAGCAGGGGACTGGAGTATGATAGACCTGAAGTAATGAGAGGTTTGCTAATTCCTTCCAGTTTCTTCACCCACTTCCATACTCGTCTATACCATTTCAGACAGCACAGTCCTCATCATACCATTCTGCTGCATAACAAACCTAGAAAGCCTGATTCTGATCTTGTTATTCAAGTCTTGTAGAGTGCTCATTTTTATAGAAATAATTCCAAAGTAGGGTACCTGGGTGCCTCAGTCGGTTGGGCGCCTGACTTCAGCTTGGGTCATGATCTCACAGTACGTGGGTTCGAGTCCCGCATCAGGCTCTGTGCTGACAGCTCAAAGCCTAGAGCCTGCTTCAGATTCTATGTCTCCTTCTCTCTCTGCCCCTCCCCAACTTGCACTCTGTCCGTCTCTCTCTCTCTCTCAAAAATAAACATTACCAAAAAAATAAATAATTTTAAAAAATAATAATTCCAAAGTAAGCAAAGAATCAGAACCTCAGGCTCAAGTACCAGATCTACCTCTTACCTTGGGTAAGCTACTTCACCTCTCAAATGTTTAGTTTCCTCATTTGTTAAGTGGTGATCACAGCAGGACCTATTTTGCATTACTGTCATGAGGTACAAATGAGGTAATGCTTAAGGCAATGCCAGGCACTCAAAAACATGCATCAGTGTTGTGCTCGTTATTATCCTTTCACATGAGAACCGATACACAGCAGAAGACAATGTGTAGTTAATCAACATCAGACATGGGAGCCCGAGCAGCTCAGTCCGTTAGGCATCTGACTCTTGATTTCAGCTCAGGTCACAATGTCACAATTCGGGAGCTCGAGCCCCACACTGGGCTTGTGCTGCAGGTGTGGAGCCTACTTGGGATTCTCTCTCTCTCTCGTCTCTTGCTGCCCCTCCCTCTCCCCCTCCCCAAAATAAACAAACTTTAAAAAAAAAACACATCAGAGGGCAGATGCACTGGATCTCAAGTCTCAGCACTGACCTCCCTCCCCAACTTCCAGTTTCATATCCTATAGGAATCCAGTTCTTCAAAAGTTTACACCTCTCTATCCAGAGAACATAGCCATCCTATTAGGCGGCGTTTAGCAAACTCAGCACACAAATCAGACCACCCCCTATTTTTGTATATCGAGTTTTTTTGGAATACAGCAGTGTTTACATTCAGTGTGTGTGCTCCAAGAGTCAATCAGTTGTAACAGAGACCATATGACCCACAAAAGTCTAAGCTATTTACACTCTAGCCCTTCCCTGAGAAAGGTTGTGGACATTCACTATAAGGTTTTTAACAATGTTGATATTCTGAGCAAATTAGTCTACACCTATCAACATTTATTCTAAACCTACTGGTCATGTGGCAGCTAGATATCACACACAGGAAAAAATATGAGAGCAAACACTGTAACACTATGGTACCTGCTTTGGGGGAACTTTCAGTAACCAGTCACAGAATAAGAAAATTACAAAGAAAAGAGACTGAAAACTAAGAAATTGTGATCTAGAGAGAATGAATCATATAGCTAAAGTTTAGTAAAATAGAAATTGTAATAGTAATATATGTTTAAAAATATGACAGCCTGCGGGTTTCACTGCAAATGTGATTTCCATTTTTTACACAGTAACAAGAGTCTTAGCAGAACAAAAGACTCCACAGACACAGACTCTATTTTCCTGTCTGTCCTACAGCTGGACCTGACAAACTGATTTCCAGACAAGGGGTTGGAAGTTAGAGTGATGCGCCCAATTCCAGCCTCGCTTACTTGAAAAGAATAATTACTTGGGCTTCCTTTCCTCCTTCTTCCTATGGGCTTCCTGATATGGCAGGAACTCAGCTCTGGAAATGAAGGTGAAACAGAGCAACATGTTGGCAGGGGGAGAGGGAGGATCTCCTGGAATGACCACAGAACCACAGGACACAAACTTGCCCCATCAGCACAGACCAGCCAGCCAGTTAAATGAGAAGTAAATAATATTCTATCTTATTTATACTACTGTATTTAAGAATCTTTGTTAAGGCAGGTTACCCTGTACTCTCATGTATACATATGGGGAGAAGGGCATACTTTCCAATATGATTTCCTATTTCTGAGCCAACCAACTAGGCATTTCTCTATGCATCTCTTTATACTAGACGATGTTAGCATACATGTGCAAAAATCTGAGCATTATCTGTTCCTCACTCAGAAAATACCAAGTGCCTAAAAACTTTATAAAAGCCAATTTTCAATCTATTCAAACTGCTTCAAAACATTTAGAGAAAGTTCCCAATTAAAATATTAATGGTATTCCTTTAGCTACATAAATTTCCAAGGAAGAAGTTATCACATACAATGACCTAATAAGTATCTTTCATAGCACATGCCCCAAACAAATTATCTCAACCTTGCTCTGTGGGTAATGCAGTTATCCCAACCTTGCTCTGTGGGTAATGACTTAGCCAATATTCAACCACTCATGTGTTGAAGGGCTGTTGTAATTATGTGTATTTCTACGAGGAAGGTATTGGAAGGTGTAAGAAACTTCATCTGATGACACAAGTATACCTCACAAATCATCGCAAAAATGTGACATCTTCGTCTACTACAGGTGATATTCGGGTAGATGAAAATGAAGAGCAACTGAAAGCAACATGCTACGAGTGCTTAGAAAGCCAAACGCAGTAGGCAGGAATTTAAAATAAAAGACTCCTTGAAAGAGGTCAGGCTGTGAAAGGGAACTGAATCCCTTTGTTGCATGTTTTACAAACAGACAAAACTAAAGCGCTTTTGAAGAAGGAAAGGGAATGGCTTGCCAGAAGAGATTTCTATGCATAGGCAACAACAGATGTGGCATTCCAGGAAGAGAGAAGTATCTGTGACTTACGCAAATCGTCCTAGCTGGGAAAAGAAATAGAGAAAGACACAGAAGGACACAAAGATGGGTAATATAAGGGAGGAACAAAGAATTCTCATGTTGTTTTGGACACCACCAGGTATTTGTGTGGAGAGAACTGGAAGATGGGCACCGTGGCCAAAGAGCACGAGCAAAGGAGAGAGCTGTGTGCCTAAGAAGTCCAAGGGGGGGGGAGGGTGTCCAGGTCTGACAGTCATGCAAACGTTTTACCTTTCTTTGAGAGCAACCAGAACAGTTGAA